AATCCGATTAATACGACCCGCTGGTGCAATCGGAATAACTATCTTCGTCCTCGGTGTCAATGGACAGACCGTGTTCTGTAAGGAACGAATAACACGGATTAATTGTATACCGTGAAAGGTTATTATCGTTAAAAATCGCCCATAAAAATCCCCGAAGGAAACAAAGTACCTGGTATATAACCCTTTTTCTTAGCTATGTACGTTACGTGATGACTAAATCGTTCCATAGCACGTTCCGCTTCTCTCTCGTGTCGTCGTATCTTCCTCTCCTCTTGCATTTTCCGCTGTTCGAGCAGACGTTTCTCGAATTTTTCCGATTTCCTTTCTGTCTAGCAAACGAATAATCGATTACCGCAACAACGTAAGCGGCTCGGCGATCGAGCTTCGACAAGAGGAAAGATCGCTTACCTGTCGATGTTGTATTTTTGTATCTCGCCTTTGTTGTATTCTTGTTGATCAATGTTCGCGATGTCTCGTTATTCCCAAGCTTCTTCTCTCCTTTCACCTTCAACGTGTTCGTAGGTTTACACTCGCATTTCGCGCTTATTTTCTTGTCCTCGTTCCCTTTAGTCACGAATTCCTCGTTACCATAGATCGCGTTTCTCCTCGCACAGGTACTCCTCGTGCAAGCCTTCATCGCAGAGGCGTTACTTCTTATGGACGAATCTTTTTCCAACGTCGAAACATGATGCTTCGCGACAGCAGGTTTCGTCCCAAGGAAACCGCTGGTTCTAGAAGCCTCGCGTTTCGGAGTGCTCGTTCTAAACGGAGACTTGGAATTCGCACCGATCAACGTGTTCACGGACATCGCGCTTCTATTCCTTTCCGCGTTTGCGACTTTGTCGTTCAGCAGTATCGTCGATTTTTCGTTTCCAACTGGCCAAGAGACCACGGTTTCCTCCGTCCTCTTCGATGACTCCGCTGTCTTATTTTCTTCGGCGATACACTCTGAGCCAGCTTCTAACTTCTGCGAATCGGCAGACGGCTTTTCAGTCTGGTTTACTGCAACCTTAGGATTTTCTTCCACGCATTTGGTGTTCGGTTTGCTATTCCTCGCGACAGCTTTCGGTTTCTTCTCCTCTCCCTTGCCATCGTCGCCGGTACCTACCTTCCTTCCTCTGTTCGTCGATGCTTCTTTCTTACCCTGCTCTTCGTTGGTCTTCTTCGCTGCTTCCTTTTTACGTCCCACTGTTTTCCGACCCCCGACTGCCGGCAGAGCATTCTGTTTCTTTTTCGCCGATTTTTCATCGTCGATTTGGCCCGTTTGACTTTTACGAGTCCTTACCGAGGCTGACGTTATCCGTTTCTTCCCCGGGCTCTTAGTATCTGTTGTTAATGTCGACGATAAAACGCTCGGTTCGTGGAAGTGCGTATAAAAGACCTTCTGCTTACCTGCAGGGGTGGACTTCGGATCGAGCGTCACTCGTTCGTTAACCGTCTTCGCGATGTTTTGCACGAAATTGTATTGCACGAAATTGTCGATCTGACGCCACGGCTCTGTTTCCAGAATTCGATCCACGAGAATACCATCAGCCACCGGGAAAAAGATCGCGGTTCTTCCTGGAATCTTCTTGCTATTCATTCAAATCGGAGCTGCAAACGGCGGAGAAAGATGGCTCGATTGGATTCGGAAAGGATCCCGTAGAATTAGACCGCAAGCTGGGTTTAGTGGAATCGAAGCTGTTCGTAAACGAAGTCAACCCCTGGGGCAAGATCTCGGAGCGTAGAGACGAAAAGAAACAAATACAAGATCGATTTTGCTCGCTTGCTTACTCGTAACGCCCGGCTCTACGTCAAACCGCGTATTTTCGGGTTTCTCCGTGTTTCGGGAGGAAAACGAACTCGTTCTACCGATGCAAGCCTGGCAGCCGCGTGTCGGAAGGAGCAAATCGATGTGGAACAATGACTAATTTAGGAATCGTGAAAACCGACCGCTCGTTTTACCGGTTCGCGCGAAATCTCGATCGTTACTGATTTTCAACGCGTCGACGTCGAACGCAACGATTACCGCCGAAAGGACGTTACGTCCCGCATTGTTTGCGTATCGACGTCTGTTATGAAACCTTAACGGTCGTACGATCCAAACCGATCGACCGCGTTGCGTCCAGAGCGCGAGACGCGTTTCCTATATCCCGTGAACGGGGCTTTGATCGATAAAATTGGTACGCGTTTAGATTCTCGGAAAGACGAACGTAATTGTCTCCGTGAAGCGAATGCAACGATCGAGCAGCAGGATTATGCGGGAAAACACGCGGAGGAGTGAGATTTATTTTTAACGATTTCGAAAAGCGCGAGGCACGTCGATCGAATTTCCGCGTTTCTCCGGTGCCGGAAACGCGTAAACTCGTGTGCACGATACTCGTTGTTTAACGACGTTTCGAAGGAAAGCTAGGCGCGAGAAATGTCAAGGTACACGGACGCGGTGACGTCACTTTTTCCCTCTATATTGTCCGAGTTTACGCCAGCGTGGGACTGACAAGGAGAGTGCAAGTCCTTCGGGTCATTGATTTAGTTGAAACTTTGCAGGTTTGTAAATTTAGTCATCCAGTTGACGAAAATATATCATTATAAGGGCAACTACTCGATAGTCTTCGAGATATTTATGATCGCAGATTTATTATTGCCTTAATTACAGATTTATCTCGAATATTTATCGAGTACCGTTGTGTACCGTGGCCCAATGGCGACATCCGAAAATTTCCACGCTGGTAGCCCGGGGAGACTTATTAAAAACAGCAGATGTTCTTGTAATAATACTCCACTTATTCGATGAGTGACCTATGCTTTCACTGTCGTAATGAACAATAAGTAAGTAGTTTTTTTTTTTTATTAAAAAATTTGTAAGCCTCGCTTATAATAGCGAGTAATCGTCTGGAAGAGGGACACAAACTGACGTCACTTTTCCGATGACCGCATCCTACTACGCTTATGGCACGTTACGAACACGCCGGATATTCCGCGATATCGCTTGTCCGTGAATGCCGCTGTACCATAAAAGGATGGAAAGCAGGTTCGACGAAATAAGCACGACGACGTAGGAGTGGACTCGATTATTTCTCGTCTGTTCGTTACGGGTACCGCGAAAAGAAAAAATAGACGAAGGGTATCGGATAAACGAAGCGCGACGTTCGATCCTGGAGTCGCGTGGATGGGAAATTTCGAAGAAGACTCGTGCTAAGTTCTTCGATTTACTTTCTCGGTACTAGATAAATACACGCGAGTCCCGCGAGTATTTCGATCATCGTTTCTCCTCGGTGAAACAATATTTGTATCTTTGAAATTATTTCCGCACTTTGCTCCGTAACAGTGGGATTTCGCGCGAACGTTACGCATCCGCACCTATTATTATTTCAGTGGCTGCGATATATTTTCCTTAGAAATATCGAGAAAGCGTCGAAAAGTATAAACGATCTCGGATAGAGGAACATAAATCGTCCTCGACACTAGATGGATCCGTTTTCGCGTTTCCTCCTTCCTTTTCCCTATCGTTTCCTCGCCGATCACTCGCGACGTCGATCTTCGCGTGGTACCAGGCGATCGTTGGCTCGCGCGGATCTCGCAGCGTGGAAGAAAACGGGTAAACAGGTGTGTCGGGATATCGGGAGATGGAGGATGAAAAAGGAAAGAATTGGAGAAAAAGACGTTGCCCCAGGCGACTGTGGTTGCCGCGTGGCTCGTCGAAATAAAACGTCGATTCACGTTCCGAGACCAGTGTCGCCACTTATATCCCCGTGCCTACGTATACGTATAAAAGTATCGTGATCGGTGGGTCGGATGAGGGAACAGTCGAGCGCGGTTATTCGAGCGATCATGATCGAGGTAAGACATCGGATCGGTATCGTGAGCGAAACGTCGTTCTCGTGTTAGATCATTGGTATTCAAATTTGTACACGTAGGTCGCGAATGTCTGTTTCGCGCGCTCTCGACACGCGTGTAGATCGATGCGTAAGAGGAACTCGGTATTAACGAATCGTTGCAGATTATCGCGTTGTTTATCGGAGTCGTCGGAACTCTAGCGGCTCCTGGAATGCCTGAAGCGTATGGAATGCCTGGAACTCCGTACGCCCCTCGGAATATCACGAAAGACGCGGAAGTGGTCTTCCCGCAGCTGCCAGGCTCGGAAAATTTAGACGAGAAAGCGATGCCTTTGTCGAAGCTGGTCGATCACCAGCCTTTCCCATCGTTGGGACAGAACTCGGTGGAAAAGTCTTGGATACCATCCGAACTTCCTGGAACGAAGAACCTCGCCGAAAAACGTATTCCCGAACCGGTCTTGCAAAAGTTGTTCCAGCTGCAGGAAGTCGATCAGCGAGATCCTTGAACGAGTCTACGCGGAGATATCTTCGTCGAGGTCGTCGCATGGGAAACTTCGTTCCCATCATCGATTAAATTGCTGTCAAGGGAAAATATACGGTTTGAAACGTTATCCGTTCAAAATTATTCGACAGACGGTACCAATTTTGTCCGAATTGCATTCCTTCGCGTCTTCCTTGGTCCTCTCGCGCGTTATCCTTTCGTCGTGTCTCTCGTCTCCTTTCCCATCCTGATTTCGATCGAACGATCCGACGTACGTAGCAAATCGTGCGTAACGGGACGAAGTTAAATTCGTGGAAAAAGAGAAAACTAGACTTTCCGAGTACGGTGCTATGGTAATTATAGCTTCTACGTTTCCCTTAGCGAGAATTTCTGCGTTACCGCAGGTCGGTAACAGCGAGACCTACCTTCTCCGAAAAGGCGCGGTCAGGGCGTACCTTGAGAGGTTAAGACACGTCACGATATCGTTCGTGGCCGAGGATTTTACGATGGTCGGTATGCGAATGGAAAAATCAATTCTTCGAATCGCGTACGCGATTCTGGCTGATCTCGGCTTTTCCTTTCTCCGAAAGATGGCTTTTCGGTGTTCTTCCATTTCTTTGCCTCGCCTTCTGCAGAAATTTAATCGAAAGCCGCGAAAAGCCGCGAATCGAAAGATACACTGCGCGTTTGGAGCACGAAAGAAACGATCGCGACCCACCGTCGAGAGATGACTCCGCTGGTCGCGTTGGCGGAGTTTTTAATCCCCAGCGGAAGGTTAATTCGCCGAGAGCCTGGAATTTTTCCATGGTCTTGACTCAAAATTAGGGAGGAGAAAGAAAAGGGAGAAAAGGAAAATAGAAAGAAATTAGTGACGAGGGAAAGAAAAGAGGGTTGTCCTTTATCTCGTTTAGAACTCGTGCTCGACGTTGATTCGTTTTCAGAGGTGGATTGTCACCCGTCGAGGTAACAGGGTTCTCGGTTTATTGAAAAAAGATGCGGGTTAATTCGTGCCGAACAGAATCCCTTTGTACTTGGATCCCTTCGCTTTGTCGCAAGGTCCGCGTGCAGAGGGAAAGCTGGAGGACGAGAGGGAGCGAGAAAAAGCAGAGAGTGTCGAAAAGGAACAATAAAAGGGGTTAAGAGAAGGAAAGGGGATTTTTCCGTTACATTTGTAGTTTCTCTGTTCTTTTGCAACAGGAAGGAAAATTCGTTGGGCAACCGGGCGAGTGGATGCCGCAAACGTGGTTACGAAGGGACAAGAGAACAATTTCGATAGCTTAACAAATAGCTTCGTTATTCTGTCGCTGGCACGCGCGATAGAACGAACAGATTGTACGCGCGATCGATTATCAACGTTGCACGATGGTCGGTTTCCTAACAATCCACAGAATTATCCGACCATACGGGTAATCGCGTTACTTCATCAATTATCCGCTGACGCTGCACGCAATTAAGGCAGCGAAACACCAACCGATAACCTTCGCTTCGCCATACGTAATCGCGACCGATTCGTATGGCGTAACGAGAGCCCGGTACGTTTTGTCGGATTACTCTGCGGCACGGTCCCGTTATTTTCCTCTAGTTATTCGATGCGTGTCAGATGCGTTTGAATATATCGATTTAGGAAAGGGGGCTGATAGTTTCGCGAATATGCAAATGAACGTAACCATCAAAGGCGAAATATGCATACGTACCGATTTATATACCTTGCTCGCGCGCCTCTCGATTTTCTGATCGCTGCAAATGCAATTGTCTCTCGCATTCCATAGGCCGCGACTCGCAAACGTCTCTACCTGGCTGCTATCTCGGCTTTTCTCCCTCCCTCTCTATCTTTCCCTTCCTGTTTCTTTTTTCTCCCCCCGTTGCACGTTGAACGCAGCAGCCGCTTTCCAAGTTGATTCATAGAACGCGAGATTTGCAGCTGAAGCCACCGCTCGGTTCCATTGTTCCGCGGTATGTTGCCGTGAGAACGGTATTGTAGCGTACGCCCGTGTATCGTACTCTTCAAAGATACCCGCGTACCCACGGGAAGCTAATTATCCGCGAAAGTTGACCGAAGAGCGCGGATAACGCGCGGGGTAGAAAGAAAAAGGGAAAGGCGAAAATCGCGAGTTTCCCAGCCAGGGATAAAGATTATCTCTCGGACGACGTGTAAGAGCGGATTATGTAGCCTCGGCGAAGTTGCCGCGACGCGAATCCACGTTTCTCCGTGATTTCTAGGGAATGGAATGAATCGTCGGAATCTCTGCGCCGAAAAGATCAAAGAGGGAGAGAAAATCGCGACGGTAAAAGGAAAAGTTTGGGTGGATGAAACGAATGGCTTGGTTCCGCCCTCGAAGTCGTGACACAGTCGGATAGAAGTTGTTCGAGGACCACGGAGAACGTTAATTCGGTTAACGGGCTCGTTTCTCGTTTTGCTCACACCTGCTGCCTTCTCGGGCTCGGTTATATCTTTCGTGCTCGTCACAGAGACCACCGCACCGCCGGCTGGGTCTCCGCCGGCACGCCGAGTTCGTTCCGCTTCTCCCCTGTGCTTCGTGGTTACGATAGTTAGGATGGTTACGATTCGATCAACGTTCGATCAACTACGTTTCCTCGGATATTTCCCCGCGATCAGAAGCGTCGATCCCCGAGTTTGTCCGCATAAAATTTCAACGCTCCCGCTCCCCGGCCACCATCAGCTCGAGAACTTTTTATTCGGTTACGCATACCTACGTCGAATATAGGCCGTCATAAAGAGAAGACAGGAAACAAGGAAAATACAGTAGTAAAAGGCACGATCGAAATTCGGACGTAAAAGCATCGGGGAAAATTTTCGTTTTATCATCGCGATGCCAAAGTCTCGCGCGACCATCGATTCGCGTTGGCTTTTGTTTCGCGGAAAAAAGAGCGAACGAGATCGGTTCGTTGGAAATTGATCAACGAGGAATCGATGATTTAAGGTTTCGAACCGATGACCAAGGCTTCGTCGAAACTACGCGGATTCCGTGTGGGTCGTTTGGCGAACGCGTATCGGTAGCACGGGTAACAAAGATGAGCCGTGAACAATGCGTTTCGGTTAGAGACGATGATCGTTGGAAAAGAGCGAGATCTTTCTCGCGGTGCCGCGCGGCACGTGCGTTCGATCGTTCGGCGTTTCGCGTTTCGATATCGAAAAGGAACGACATCGGAACGATACGAGAATTATTTTTTAGCGATCGAAAGAGGAGCTGCAATCCTGTCGATGAACGATGATACATCGACGGACGACGATTGTTCGGAAGCCCGTTAGCGCCCGTTAGTAATCGGGATTCCACGGGAGTATCATCTCCCTCCCTTTCTATCTCCATTCTCTTCCTCCTCCTCATCCTCCTCTTCTTCCTGCTGCCTCTCCATTCCCATTCCTCTTCCCCTTTCATGTCCAGATCACGCGATGATACAGGAATGTCTGGGATGCCGAGAGCGATGGCGTAGAGCTCTTGGTTGACCCGGCATGGCCATTATCGTGATTACATTAGGTGCTATCCTACCGGGTACATGGCGTCGCGTACCCGCGAACCACCTGGTTTGCCGAGCGTACAATTCGATGGCGGAAGCCGGATCGTCAGATAGCCCGATTCGCTGCTATCTGATGTCCTTTACGCGATTCGCGTCTCGTTTTGCCGTCCCATCGACTTCCCTCTACGCATCCCATTTACCTACAATTTGGATCATCGTCCATGAACTTTCCTAGACAAATCATCCCGTATTACGATTCCACCGTCGATCGTAATTATTCGTCTGCTCGCTCAGTAGTTAATTTTCGCCCTTCACCCGTGATGCTTCGTATTTAACTCGAATTTCCTCGCGTAATTATTTACCGGCTAACCGGAGGGAGAGGAAAGAAGAGGAGAAAAACGGGACGAATGAGGAAAGGATGGAGGACACGTGGTCGATTAATTCGTCTGGGTCTCGATTCGCCCAGGTATTAAAGACACGTTGTGTCGCGACGCGTCGACCGAGCGAACGACGTCTGCAAGGAGTTTGCCTCGGTAATAGAGCCGACGTCGTTTATCCTTCCCTTTTTGAGACTTTATTCGAGCTAGATATTCCCCGGAGATCGTGGCTCGAGACTAACGTTTTATAACTTGCAGTTTCTCCGGTGTGTCATATAGTTGGGTTATCCAACGACATGCTAGACGTCTACGCTTTTACCTTTCTTCCGTGTTTCCTCCTCGCTTTCCCGCTTCCTTCGTTTTTCTTTCGTTTGTCTATTATGTAAATAGCAATAGATCAGGTTGTCAAGGAACGAAAGGTATTCGGTTGAAGGGCATACGTGCCTCGGTTCACCGTCGCGTAGGTACGAGAGAACAGAACTCGTGTACTTTAATGCACGTATTTCGGATAACGGATAGGCAACGGCACGCCAATGGATGCGAGCTCGTATCGTGCTCGGCGATCGAAGCCCGATCGAACTTTAAAAGCTGCCACCGTGCACGCTTCTCGATAATCGCGATCGAGAGGTTCGAGGGTCGAAACGATTCCCCCGGCCGAGTCAGGCATCCGAGCGATCAGCTTTCCACACGATCCCCCTTTTCGTTTCATCCGCGACGAAACCAAACCGTTTCGTCCTTTCCGCCAACATTTCCACGCAACCTTTCGCGCCGCGTCTTTCGTCACCGACTCGTTTCGCGTAATTTCGTAACACCGCAATCTGCTCGAACAGGTGAGAAGAAAATGGCCACGATGCGTTTCTCCGCAGACACCGTACTCTCGGCGCTGCACACCGAGCTAAGCCGAGAACAAGCACGTTGTCGCCAAAGTTCATTTCTTATCGCTCTCCTCTTCCACCTTCTCTTTCCCACCGCACGCGCGCCCACAGGCGTTAGCCTTTCCTTTTCCCATTCGTATGCCCAATTTTCTAATTTTCTCCCACGGCCGATCTCTCCTCGCCTACGTACCTCGCGAGACGTCTGTCGCGGCTAACGAGATATAGTCGTTGGAAAGACACTCGCGGATAAAGTCGAAGAGAGGGAGGAGCGAGAAAAGAAGGAAAAGAAAAGCGGAAAAAGGTATCGCGCAATTGGTGGAATTCCGCGTGTTCGGTGGGCAGACGACCCCCTCGTTTCTCAACGAATTTAAT